TTGAAGTCAATAAAAATATATTTTTTTAAAAAGTGGAACAGAGAGACAAAGAGAGTAGAGTATTATTTGGTGCTATTATTTGAGCACCTGAATGCAGTTGTGCCTGAAACCTGGAGTTTTCAGTTCTGTGAGCCAATAATTTCCCTTTTTCTCTTAAGCCAGTTTGAGTTGAGCAAACTGACTCAACCTGAAACCCTGGAACCAGGGGCCAAGGCTGACCATGTTAGGAGCATGCCGTGGGGTTCAGAGGGTTTCTTGCCCTTAAGGGTGCTCCCTGCCAGGCTGCCTCACCACTCAAGCCACTTCTTTCAGGACCTCCTCAAAGCAACAGGCTTTCATCTGGGGAGGGGGAGGTGGCCCAAAACCTAATTAGAGGCACTAACAATGATTCGTGCATCACCAGGCAGAGAGAGTCAGAGCAGAAATCCAAGCCCTGTCCCTTTAAAACTTCCTGTTTCCTCCATGAAGTGAGGGAAGGAGTGAAACTAAGCAAATTTAGTTTAATCTCAGAAGTCCTGGGGTCCCAGGGTGACGCTTCCTTTTTAGGGAGAGGACACTGAGTAACTGCCAGCTCTTCAAACAGATTAACTCTGCCTTGGTCTGATTTATGCATTTTGGGCTTCATTTGAAGAGTGGTTCCACTGCTAAATAACAATTTTGAATATCTGGACTTTGATTCTTGGAATCCCCCCAGGATGGGGATGGGTGAGCAGGCTGCAAACCCAGTGACTCCTCCTGCTCTGACATGCTGGGATTTTCTAACAATGTGAACTTGGATGCGTGGCCAGACTGGAAGCAAAACAGAGGATCAGTTACGCAAGACCTGGGTTCAAACCCTGACTCTGCTACTTGCTTGCTGGGTGACCCTGGCTAACCACTTTCCTTCTCTGCGCCTCAGTTTCCTTAGCTGTAAAATGGGGGTGCTAATACCTTCCTCTGAGTTTCACTGGGAAGGGTAACTAAGTCATTGCCTGGATCCTATTGGTGGAGCCAGTAGGAAGCGCTCAGGAAGGCCAGGTTGCTGCTATTGATGATAACATTGTTGTTGCTCTTTGTAGTCACTCTACAGAATGTAACTGGAGAGAGCTGTCTGGTGTGCTTCTTCAGAGATGTCTCCTGGCCCTGGTGTGGGTGGGATGATGTGGGGTGGGGAGGGGTCCCAGTCAGACATTCTCCTTTGAGAATGCGGTGGGCTGAGCAGCCTAAACCGCAGTCTAAGCCCGCCAAGCAGGGGGCAGGTCCCTGGCTGAAGCAGCCCTCAACCTCCGGACGCCAGGGGACATGGGCCCAACCCAGGTGACTGGGCTTCGATGCGTCTGAAAGCCTCTCAGCTGCAGTCCCGTAACCTGACACCCGCAGGCCTGATTTCCCCGCTGGGCGGGGACCGCGGTGGGGGTCGGGGCAGCCACTCCCCTCCATGGGACCTCTCCCCTCGCCTCCCAATCCCCTTCTCTAAGCCCCCGACCCCCAAAGGGCCCACCCCCAAGGGTCCCAGTTTAGGTGGACGAGGACATCTCCTTAAACAGGGGAGCTGAGGGCTGTGGTTGTGCCGTCTCAGGGGCCCAAGTCCTTGGCCCGACCCCGAGCAGCAGAAGTAATGCAGGTAGGAGGGGGACCCCCACTGCAAAAATAGAAAAGCGAAGTGGGGGAAGGAAAGGGAAGGAAGGGAAGGAAGCCCTGACGAGGAGCCTGTGGAAGGGGGACCCGGGACCCTCTAAACTTTAGAGGTTCTCAACCTGTGGGTCGCGACCCCTTTGGGGATCTTACGACCCTTTCACAGGGGTCGCCTAAGACCATCGGAAAACACATATATAATTACATATTGTTTTTGTGATTAATCACTGTGCTTTAATTATATTCCATTTGTAATAATGAAATTGGGGGTCACCGCATGAGGAACTGCATTAAGGGTCGCGGCATTAGGAAGGTTGAGAACCACTGCAGCCTGACGTCAGGGACCTGGTCCTGGGTCCCAGCGCCTAACTACCCAGAGAGCCGCAAAGAGCGCGCGCGCGGACGCGGGGACGCGGGATGCTTGGAGCCGGCAGCCAGCGCCTCTCCCTACCACCGGCCCGAAGCCTCTGCTCCAGAAGAAACTTTGCGCCTGTGGCCCCGCTGCTTCCCGTGCCCGCCCCAAGGCCCCCGCCCCAAGGCCCCCACCCCCGGCGCCCACTCACCAGCGCACCAGCTGCCAGCGCTTCTCCCCCGGCGTCCCGCGGCCCGCCATGCCTCGCCCGGCCGGCCGCCCTCTCCCCGCCCGCGGGGCCGCACGGCGGAGGCGGCTCCGGCTGCCGCAGGCCAGTGCCGAGGGCGCGCTCGCCGTCGCGGGGTGCGGCGCGGGGACCGGCGAGAGGGGCGGGGCGGGGCGGGGCGGGGCGGGCGCGAGCCGACGCGGGCCGGATCCGGGCTGTGCGGCGTGATCGGCGCTCATCTCCCCTCTCCCCCGCCTCCCCCCTCCATCCCCACCCGGGTGCCGCCCGCCCGGTCCCCCCTGGATCCGACTGGGGCTGGGTCACCGCGCGCCTCCGCCGGGACGACCACCTTCCACCCTCTCCCTGCCTTTCCCCCAGCCCCACCCTCCCACCCCCAGTCCCGCTGGCGGGGGGCGCAGAAGAGCTGGCGTCTGGAGCCCTGGGCGAGGAGTCAGGTTCTCCAGGTTCCACCGTGAGGGGCGCCTGACTTGCTGAGTGACTGGAGGCGATCTACTTACTCCGCCTCTGCCTTACTCCCTGGGACACCCGTTCCGCCTCCCTAGAAAGTTATGCGTACAAACTAAACTACTCTAAATGCTTAAAACAAAGACTGATGTGCCCCCACAGATTGTTAAAACATGTTAAGGTGACCGTATTTAAAACAGAATGGCATTGGCGGGGCTCGCTGCCAGTACTAGGACCAGCTCCTCCCAAGCCTTCAGCCCCCTGCACCCCAGGAACCCGTTCATTCCTGCAGTACCGCAGACACCAGCCTGGGCCCAGGATGCCTTGGGACCATGCGTGTCAAGCCTGGTTTGAAGGAGCTGAGTTTTAGGAACGTTTGTTAGTATGAACATTTGTCTGAACACTGTCCTGCCAATTCACTTGCTTCCAATACCAGGACAGCCCACATCCTTTGCAAGAGGGAAACCGAGGCAGAGGGGACAGAACCTGGCCCCAAAGTGAAGACCTGGGAGCTTACCTTCTTCCTGGGGTCTGTGGCCATTCCCTGGAGCACGGACATTTGTGGTTATATCCATAGGTGCCCTCCCCAGTGTTCAACACTTGAAACGTTAACTGTGTTGTTTTTTACTTGTCAAATTTGGAATTATAGAGTGTGTGTGTGTTTAATATATTTTTATTGATTTCAGAAAGAAAGGGAGAGGGAGAGATAGAAACATCAATGATGAGACAGAATCATTGATCGGCTGCCTCCTGCACGCCCCCCACTGGGGATGGAGCCTGAAACCGGGGCATGTGCCTTTGACTGGAATTGAACCTGGGATCCTTCAGTCCACAGGCCGATGCTCTATCCACTGAGCCAAACCAGCTAGGGCTGTTTTGTGTGTGTTTGTTTGTTTGTTTGAATACATTTTTATTGATTCCAAAGAGGAAAGGAGAGGGTGAGGGAGACAGAAACATCAATAATGAGAGAGAATCATTGATCGGCTGCCTCCTGCACGCCCCACACTGGGGAGCGAGCTCATAATCCGGGCATGTGTCCTGACAGGGAATCGAACTATGACCTCCTGGTCCACAGGTCGACGCTCAACCACTGAGCCATGCCGGCTGGGCCCATTGATTGTTTTTTAACTACCCCCACATAGGTTTGTATGGAGAAGGGAAGTGGACACTCTTAATTGTGAGTGAGGTTGGAGAGTAAATTGATCAACCTTGTGCATGGCAATTTGACAACATGATGAAAAGCCATCAAATGTGCATGTCTCTTGATTTCTCTCCTTGAAATTCATCCTAAGAACATAATTAGAAACGTGAAAAGGGGTCTCTGTAGAAGAATGTCCACTGCAGCATTGTTTTCGATAGAATAAAACTGGGAACAACACAGAAGTCAAATTGGAGATTAGTTAAGTAAAGAAGCTTGTCCAGCCCTGGCCGCGTGGCTTAGGTGGTTGGGTTGTCATCCTGATGCTCCAGGGTTGCAGGTTCCATCCCTGGTCAGGGCACAAACAAGAATCAACCAATGAGTGCATAAATAAATGGAACAACAAATCTCTCTTCCTCTCTCTAAAAAATCAACTAAAAATGTTTAAATTTTTTTAAAAGAAGCTTGTCCATATGATGCGATATTATACAGCTACTAAGAAAGAATTTATTGGCATGAAAAAATTGAGATATATTTTGTTGTAAGCATGGTGACTATAGTTAATATTACTACCTGGCATAACTGAAAGTTGTTAAGAGAGCAGATCACAAGAAAAACATTTTTAACTACATATAGTGATGGATGTCAACAAGACTTATTTTAGTGATCACTTCATGACATATTACAAGTATCGAATCATTGTGTTATACACTTGAAACTATGTCAATTACATCTCAATTTTTTTAAAAAAAAAGACATATTTTAAAGTGCAAAAAAATTACCAAATAGAACGAGTACATTCATATATTCGTTGAAAAATCTGGAAGAGCCTGGCTTGTGTGGCCCAGTGGTTAAACATCCACCCAAGAACCAGGAGGTCACGGTTCTATTCCTGATCAGGGCACATGCCCAGATTGCAGGCTTGATCCCCAGTGTGGATTGTGCAGGAGGCAGCCAATCAATCATTCTCTCTCATCATTGATGTTTCTATCTCTCTCTCCCTTCCTCTCTGAAATCAATAAAAAATATAAATATTTTTTAAAGTCAGTATTCTGCCCTAGCTGGTTTGGTTCAGTGGACAGAGTGTTGGCCTGCGGACCAAGGGTCCTGGGTTCGATTCTGGTCAAGGGCACGTACCTCAGTTGCAGGCTCCTCCCTAGCCCGGGCCCTGGTCAGGGTGCATGCAGGAAGCAACCAATTGATGTGCTTCTCTCACATTGATATTTCTGTCTGTCCTTCTCTCTTCCACTTTCTCTAAAAATTAATGGAAAAATATTTTCAGGTGAGGAGTAAAAAAAAAAAAAAGTCAGTATTCAAAGCTATCATGAAGAGATGGAGGGAGCCTCGAGGCCTTCTCTGTCACCCCAAACTCACTCTCTTAACTGGTATTCATGGCTCTTACCTTCCCGTAAAGCTCATGGGTGTTTTCTGCCACAAGTAGATTCATCTCTTCGCTGAGGGACCTGATGAAGCTCACCTCGGACCATGACTGGACTGGGATTTGAATCCTGGCTCCACTGCTTACAAAGTGGGTGATGTTAAATTTCCAGTAGGGTTTCTCTGAAGTTTCTATGAGATGAAATGGGTAAAGTGCTCAGCTCAAAATAATGGTTACTTCTGAAGTGAGATATATACTTACTATACATTTTAGTTTGTATTGACTTTGTTATAAGTTTAATGTTGAAAATGGGGGGGGGATGTTTTAACAATAGTCAATAGATTGCCTGGTACATAGAAAGTACTTGATAAATGTTAATTCTTATTGTCATCATCTCCATATTTTATAATGCATCTCTGGGTCTCCCCACAACTTCAGGTAGAGTGCCATGCAGTCAATCTTGTTCAATATAACTCTATGTGTTGACTGACTGATTGTTAACCTCCTCTAAAGAGGTACCCTTTAGTCTCCTGGCCCCCCAGTCCATTCCCTAGCCCTGCCTTCACAGGGCCATCTCTCAGCTCTGCAGGCTCATCGATTTTAGTGGTTCTATGAGTGATTTGTGCACATGTTTTTGTTGTTTCACCTGGAAGCATTTTTTTGGCCAAAGATGTTGCAAGAGTCCCGAGGACAGCCCCAGAGGCCAGGCCTTTCATGCCCACCTGAGAGCACTTCTGTGGCCAGGCTGGACCTTCTCCCAAGAACAGGCAGGGCCACCCCTCAGACAGGCATCTAGAGTTGTTTTCTTTAGGTGGTGAAAAGCCAGAGTCCCAGGACCCATCTTGAGACAGATCAAGGAGAATAACATTTGGGGCTTAGTCATAACAATCCCATTCGCATACACTTTACGAAACCCTTTCATTCTAACCTCATGACACTCACAAAAAGATCCTGTTGGCAGAGTCCAAGGTGCTTTTCCCTGAAATGACTTACCCAGGGGGAGCTCTGAGCCACCAGCCACTCACACAATGTCACCTGATGTCTTGCTATCATGAGCACGGATAACTAATGAGAACGCAGCATGTTTTAAGCATTTTACTATAAACTCATTTAATCCTCACAACAACCCAAAGATCTCATGAGCTGTATAGACCACCATTATCCCATTTTATGGATGAGGAGACTGGGGCCCAGGGAGGAAGAAGGTATTGACAGAGCCAGAATTAGAAGCCAAGCAGCGTGGTTTTAGAAGCCTTCCATGTGCAGTGAAAAAGGCTCAACACCAACGTTCTGGACTTCAGAGGTCTTTTTAAAAATATTTTTCTTTATTGATTTCAGAATCAATAAAGAAAGAGAGAAGGAGAGAGAGATAAAAACATTAATGATGAGAGAGAATCATTGATTGGCCTTCTGCACGCCCCCCTTTGGGGATCCAGCCGCAACCCAGGCATGTGCCCTTGGCTGGAATCAAACCTGGGACCCTTCAGTCCGCAGGCTGGCGCTCTACCCACTGAACCAAGCCGGCTAGGGCTGGGCTTCAGCGTTTTTAAAGCTTCTCCTCTTGGCTCTTGGCACCTTCACGTAGAGAAAGAGGGTGTTTTATCAACTGGGACCCAGAGAGGTGATGGGATGCACCCAAGGTCATACAGCTAGTGAGAGGCCTGGGGCAGCTTTGCTGCCAACTAGGCACAAGGTAGGTTTCCTGACCCCTGGTCAGCTCACCTCCCACCCAACCCTTTCCTGGGCCAGGGGGGCACTGTCTGTGGTTCCTATGCCGGGGCGTAGGCAGAGGGGCCCAGCGGATGCCGGCCTGCCTGTCTGGGCGCTGTCCGCGGTGCTGATCCGCCCGCCGCGCCCTTGCTCGCCAAGCGGCAGGCGGGTTCCCCAGGTTTCCCTCCAGCTCCCAGCCAAAGCCAGCTCCTCGAGTTCCGGCGGCCCTCCGGGGTCCTTAGACCTGGCTCCTGGGGCTCCCCGGGTTCCCCCGCCCCTCTCTCGACCGGGCGCCGCCAGCCTCCCTTCCCCCCCACCCCGGCCCCGCCCATGGCCCCTCCCCGCCAGTCTCAGGTCCCTCCCCTCCCCCTTATCTCTCCCGCCCCCTCAGCTCCCCCCTACTGCTCGTTCGCCAGTTCCGGTCACGTTGCTGGGTGTTTACGCCTGGAGGCAGCCCGGGACCCCCCTTCGGCGCCCCAGAGCCCCCGGAGCCCCGACCCCACCGCCCCGCAGCCTCGAAGCAGCTGATGGCGCCGCAGCCCGGGCGGGCGCTGCGGAACCCGGGGCGCAGCTAGCGTGGGGAAGAAGAGCTCCTCCCCGCACCCAGCCCGCGGACCCGGGCTCCTCTGGCCTGTCGCTCCCGCAGGTCCTGAAGGTGAGGAGGCCGGTGGGCGTGGGGGTGGGCGCCGAGGTGTTCCCTCGCGGGAGCGCTGGCGTGAGGCTGGGCACCGCAGCGCGCGGGAGGCGGACAGGACCCGCGGGCTGCTGGCAGAAGTTGTCCTCCACCGCCCAGACTCGGACCCTTCCCGGCCCTGGCGGAGAGTCCAGAGCAGCCGAGGTCAAGCCACCACTAGCTCTTGCCACCTCCTGCCACACACATCATTCCTTCTGCCTGGCTTTCCCTGTCCTCCCTGGTACCTCTCTTCCCCGGCTCCCTCCGTCTCCACATGCCCCCCCTCTCTCAGGGAGTCATATTGGAGGCGTAATCAGGGCAGAACATCAAGACTGAAGTGGGTGGGAGCTCCAATTTCCCCGTACGGCCCACTCCCGTGCTCCTGGGTCCTCTGCTTTGCTGGGGTTGGGGGTCCTGCGGTCTTCAGTGGAGGGGGGAGCCATGACCCGGGGGTATTGGAGGAGGAGGGTCTGGGGTGGAGAGGACCAGGAGACCCCTAGAGAATGTGGCTCCACCGCTAACTAGTCAAGTGACCCCACCTTACAGCGCCTCAGACATTTGTCTAGAGCTGACTTCTTGGTCCCAACTCAAATCCCCGGGAGAGCCAAGGACCTGAGAATGAAGGGAGTAATTGTTTTTTAATACGTGCGCTTACTTGCCCTGGTGATTGCCAATAGCGCTCCACTCCTTCTGCCTGTTTCACCAACATTCCTTGTGCTCCTGCTTCATCAAGGAATTCCCGGAGACAAAGCCCTGTCCTCAGGAAGCTTATTGCTCAGAGCAGAAGCCAGACAGAAAGGCAGACACACACACACACACACACACACACACACACACACACACACACACACAGTGATGCCTGGTGGGATGCTTGGGGAACACAGTGGCAGAAGAGAGGCATTTCAGCTTGATGGGGGTCAGGGAAGACTTTCCGCATGTGAGCATCCTTCAGAGGTTTAAGGAGGTAAAGATAAGATGGGTAATAGTAAAGGAGGGATGTTCATGGGTATGAGGAGAGTTTGTTGTGAGAGCAGCAAGAGGTAGAATCCAAAAGAGGAGAGGATCAGACTGCAAATGTGGGCCGAATTTAGATTGTGAAGGGCCTTAGGGTAAATGCCAGTGAGTGCTCCAAGTTGCAAGACACTGTCAGTTGTGTATATGGGGCAAACCACTTAACCCCTCTGAGCTTCTGTTTCCTCATCTATGGAGTACTAACAGAACCTTCTTCTAGGGCTCTTATGAAGATAAATGAATTAATATGTGTAACATGCTAAGAACAGTGCCAGCCATTGATTATTATTAATATTATTATCATTATAAGTGTTATTATCTGTGCAGTAATCCTATATAATAAAAGGGTGATATGCAAATCGATCAAACAGCAGAATGACCGGTCGCTATGACGTGTACTGACCACCAGGGGGCAGATGCTCAATGCAGGAGCTGCCCCCTGGTGGTCAGTGCACTCCCACAGAAGCCCTGAGCCAGGCTCACGACTGGCGAGGCCAGCTGCCACGGCAGGAGCCTCTCCCACCGCAGCAGCACTAAGGATGTCCGACTGCTGGCTTAGGGGAGTGGGCCTAAGCCGTCAGTTGGACATCCCCCGAGGGCTCCCAGACTGCGAGAGGGCGCAGGCCTGGCTGAGGGACCCTCCTGAGTGCATGAATTTCATGCATTGGGCCTCTAGTAATTATTTTAAGTATTATTACCTGTCCATCTATGTCTGAGAAAGACTTTTTGAGTTCTTGCTTTCCCTCCTACCCCAGTCCTCAGAGTCAGGTAGTTAAGAGGAATAACAAGTAAGAAAAGTAAAGAAGCCCGGCTGGTGTGGCCCAATGGTTTAGCATCAACCTATGAACCAGGAGGTCATGGGTTGATTCCTGGTCACATGGCTGGGTTTCTGGCCCGGTCCCCAGTAGGGGGTGTGCAGGAGACAGCCAATCAATGATTCTCTCATCATTGATGTTTCTATCTCTCCCTCTCCCTTCCTCTCAGAAATCAATAAAAAATATATATTTTAAAAAAAGAAGAAAAGTACAGAACATTTTAATTCATTTACTTATTCATTTATTACCATGCCTGTCCTATCTAATATACCTCCCTTGGCAATTAGAATGATAAAAATAACTTTAACATTCTCCTTGAAACAAGAAGGCATACTTAAAATTTTTAACAAAATGTGGGTGAGTATTCAGAACAGTGCAAGAATACTTGTTGACTGAATAAATATTTTCAGTCCTAAAGAGAAAAGAAATACTAAGAATGAAATAGAAACTGGGACAAGAGAAGCAGCAGGGGTAAGGGTGGCAGACATTGCAGAGTCCATGCAAGCAAAAGGCTAGAGGCCTAGCTCTGGTTCCTCTCCAGTCACTGCATCTGCCTGAGGGAGAGATGGGGGCAGCAGAGGCTCGGGGACATTGAACAGACTAAGGGAGGGTAGTAGTTAGCCTCCCAAAAGAAGTTTGGACTATGACAGTGGTTTTCAAACTTCCGGTTAGCAGAAGCCTTTTCTCCGATGAATTTGTCTGCACAAACCCATCATATAACAGAGGGGTGAGGACAGCAAAGCCTCGAGCCCTGCCCTTTCCCCCAACCCTTTTGGCAACATCGTAGAGCCCTCTGCAGAACTCTGGGGTTCTATGGAGCAAATTTGAAAATCACTGATTGAGATGATTATGAAGACCCTTCAGAGCCCTGAGTGCTGTGATTCTGTACTTCCTGTGGTTCTGCCAATGCAAAGAACTATAGGAACTGGAGAGGGGAGAGGACCGCAAGTTCCTACTTTACCAGGTCAGCTGTAGGGAGATAGCTGGGGAGGAGAGTGGGCACCCGAAAGCTCCAAAGAGCCAAGCAGGAGGTGATGTCTTTTTCAGGGATCAGGGGCTTTAGTCTTAGAGCGTCACAGTTGTGTCAGGGTGAGAGGGCTCCTGCACCTGACAGTATCTGGGGTTGGGGACCTGAGCACAGAAGGCTCCGCCCACCAACTTCCCTAAGGGGAAAACATTTGTACCTTCCTCCCTCCCTCCCTTCCTCCCTCTTTCTTTCTTTCTTTCTTTCTTTCTTTCTTTCTTTCTTTCTTTCTTTCTTTTTCTTTCTTTTTCTTTCTTTTACTTGATTTGAGTTTATTTGAACCAAACAGATGACATGCCAGGGAAGCAAGATTTCAAATGCTCCTAGAACTTTCTTTCAGACAGATGAGAGGCATGTCCAGAGTACTTGGAATTAACTGTATAAATTGTGAACCCTGTGTTGCAGGTCTTTTTTTATTCTTGATGACAGTTCTTTAAAATGAACCTTCTCCATCCAGCTGGAAAATTAAAACAAAGAGGTAGGAGCACAGGGAGAAGGTGGGCAGCAGGAACAGTGCAGTTCCTGAGGTAGTCAGGACAGCGGACCGAGGTGAGAGACCTTCTCACTTTAACCTGGGAGCTTGGGCATCTCAGGCTGGCTGTGGAAGAAGATGGAGCTGATAGCTCCTACCCCTTAGCTGCTGCTGCTGGCCTGGGACTTGTCCTCAGACATGATGAGGTCCCGAAGCTGGGAGGTTCCAGGACTACATCTGTGTGTGGAAACCTGACATTTTTCTGAGTTGGGTTTTCCAAGCACATGTGGCTCCCCAGCCACACACAGAGATCCGTGTTGGCCCTGGTTTCCCCTTCCCACCTCCATCTCCCGCCCTCCCCAAAACAAACTAAACAATAACGTCTAAGAAAGTATATTTGCCAAGATTGCTTGTGACCCCAATTCCTGCCCCGAGGAGAGCACCTGCCTCGTTGGAAGCAAATACGCAAGCCATTCTGGGAAGGCATGGAAACAGCTGGTTGGCTCAGTCTGTCACTGGGGCCAGGGGCCAGTCTCCAGGGCTGTGTGGAAAGAGCGTTGACTCTTCTGAAACATTTGCATTTCAGCAGCTGGGAACAGACATTTTCTCTCTTCACTGTAAGCACAGGCCAACACACCTTCATCCTCCAGTTGTGCACACAGCAGACACGTAGATTAAAGAGACACAACGCACACACATGCATGCACACATACATGTACTCCTTCTGGCATGGACACGGGCTTAGATGCATATACAGACACACAAGCACACATAACCCAACACAGACAGACAAAAGCGCAGACACGGCTCACCTGTTCTCCCGAGTAATGCATCAGTATACTTGCCTGCCCTCTTCACATCTGTTTCTCCTTGTCTGAGGTCTCTTGAGCATGCCAGATCTAACAGGCTGGATCTCACCTTCGCTGTAAATCTTCCCCTCCACATCCGTTCACCCAGCTCCACAAATTCACTCACTCGTGCACTCTACCGATATTTTACAGAATATCTCCTATGTGCCAGATTCTGTCCTAGGTACTAGGGAACAAAACAGTCTTTCCTCTTGTGTTGCCAACAATCTGGCAAGGGAACCAAACAATAAACAAAAATGTAATATATGCAGGTGGTGATAAATTCCTGGAAGAAAAGCAATGCCAGTTAAGGGAGTGGAGAGTGACAGAGGGGTGGGTCTATTTTAAATCAAATAACCAGAGAAGGACCCTGATTATGTGACCTTTGAACAGAGTCCTGAATGCAGGGAGAGATGGGCCATGAGGGTATCTCGGCAACGGCATTCCTGGCAGAGGGGACAGTGCATGCAAAGTCCCTGGGGCAAGGTGCTTGGCATAGTCAAGAAACAGCACGGAGGCCAAGGAGGCTGGGGTGGAGCCAACAGTGGGAGAACAGCAGGAGATGAGGGTAAACAGAGCCAGGTAAACAGAGCCAGGGGCCATTGGGTAGGGTCTGGTGAGAACTTTGGGTTTGGCTTTAAGTGGGATAGGAAGCCCTTGGGAGGGTGTAGAGTGAGGGATGAGGTAAGCTGATCAGATTGCTAAAGGAACTCTGGCTGCTGCACGGAAAACAAGGACAAGAGTGGAAGCGAGAAGCCAGTTAGGAGGCTACTGCAATGTTACACCCGAGGGATGGTGGGGACCGGGACTAGGGAAACACAATAGGGACAGTGAAAACTAGTTGAATTGAGGAAGTTTTTTGAAGGTAGAGCCAGCAGGATTTGCAGATGGGTTGGCTGTGGAATGTGAGGAAAGGAATGAAAGATGGCTCCTAGTCATTTGTCCTGAGCAACTGGTGAAGAGGCAACTGTTGTGCTGTTTATCCAGATGGCGAATAGTAGGCCAGAGCAGGTTTGCAGGAGTGACCGTGAGAGCTCAGGACTGGGACTTACAGTTTGAGGGACCTGTGAGACAGCCAGATGGATGTAGTAGATAGTCGGTCTAGTGCTCAGGTCAACATAGGAACAGAATTTACAGCCATGGCATTGGACAGGACCGCCTTAGGAGTAATTAGAGAAGAGGTCCAATGTGAAAGATGAGGAATGGGGGGAATCCAGCAAACGTGCCTTCCTACTTGACTTCCCCAATGCTGAGAACTGTTAAACACCCGAGTATTCCTCTTATCGTGACCTAACCCAGCGATTTTCAACTGGTCTGCCGCAAGCATGTTTAAAACATGCAGTACCTGACTATTTAGACTGTCCAATTAAAAAAAATGACAACAGCCAACACAATAGCCATATGGTGTGAATGAATCAAAATCATACCTATTTGTTTTGTCAGATCAGAAAAATATATTTTTTTTTGGTGTGCTGCAGAATTTTACTGTATGTGTGCCATGAAATGAAAAAGGTTGAAGCCCAGCTGGTGTGGCTCAGTGGTTGAGCACCGACCTATGAACCAGGAGGTCACGGTTTGATGCCCAGACAAGGCACGTGCCCTGGTTGCAGGCTTGATCCCCATTAGGGGGCATGGAGGAGGCAGCCAATCGATGATTATCTCTCATCATTGATGTTTCTATATCTCTCTCCCTCTCCCTTCCTCCCTTAAAAAAATTTTTTTTAATCAAATTTTTTAAAAAAGAAACTTTAAAAGAATATGTTGAAAATCGCTGATCCAATCCATCCCCATGTCCTGCCAATTCTACCCCAAAAATATGCCTGGAACTTCTCTTCATCTCCATCTTCATCATCTGGCCCAGGCCTCCATCATCTCTCACCTGAACCAGTGCTACATTCACCCAGCTGATCTCCCAGTATCGACTTTGTCCTCTCTAATCTGCCCTCCCCACAGCAACCACAGTGATGTTTTAAAAATGCAACTCATGTCCCTCACTGGCTAAAATCCTTTAGTAATTTCCCAATTCACTTAGTATTAATCCACAATTCATAACATAGTTTACAAGACCCTGTGTGATCCTTTCCTTGCTAACCTCACTTCCTGCAACCCTCCCCCCAGTACCTTACACATCAGCCTTCATCAGCAGTTGGCAATGTCGCTATTTCTCAAAAAGGCCATGTGAAGCCCTAAACACATAGGGCTTCGCTTCTAGTAGGCCCTCAATAAATGTCAGCTGTCATTATCCTGCCTCTGGGCCTTCACAAGTGCTGTTCCTGTTTGAGACGCTCTTCCCTGTACTCTTCTGACTAACTTCTACCCCTCCTTCAAGTCTCTTACTTTTCTGCTGCTGCATAACAAATTACCACAAACTAAGTGGCTTAAAACAACACACATGAATTTTCTCAGTCTCCAAGGATCAGGAGTCTGGCACTTTTTACCTAGGTCCTCTGCTCAGGATCTCACAAGGCTGAAATTAAGACCAGCTACATCCTCATCTGAAGGCTCAACGAGGGAGAGAGCCACTTCTAAGATCACTTAGGCTGTTAGCAGAATTTAGTTCCTTGCGGTTGTAGGACTGGAGCCCCTTGGTCTTGGTTGCTGTCAGCCTGGGGCCATCCCCAGCTGCTAGTGGCCTCTCTCAGGCCCTTGCATGTGGTTTCCTCCGTTATCACCCACAGCGCGGCCGGTTACCTCTTCAAGGCCAGCAGCAGAGTTTTTCTCAGGCTTCAGATCTCTTCCTTCACTCAGTAACGGCCCTTTGAACTCACCCGCCCAGAATAATCTTCCTTTTGATTAACTCAGAGCAACTGATTGGAGACCTTAATTACACCTGCACAATCCTTTCTCCCCTGTCATAAACCTAATCACAGGAGTGAAATCTCAAATTCTCAGTCCCACCCACACCCAAGGCGGGAAGATAATGTCGGAGAGCATGACCACCTGGGCCTGGGAATACTGGACCCATTTAGAATTCTGTCTGCCATGAGGTCTCGTTCTACAATCACTTTCTCAAAGAGGCCTTCTTTCATATTACACTGTAGGTTTCTTTCATGGCACCTATCACAAATTGTAATTGTAAACTTACTTGTATTATTATTTGTGTGATGCACTTTTTGTTTGATTCTCTCCCCTTAGCCCTGGGAGCTCATGAGGGCAAGGATTTTGTTTTGTTTATCAGTGTTTTTCCGTAACCAGCACAGCAATTGGCAATAGTAACTCACTGAATGAATGAATGATGGAGAGATATGCAAATAAAGACAGGGATTAACCTCCTCACACATTTAACAGAAACGAGAAGGGATGTAGCACTGACTGACCCCGGTCCTGTGATGAGTGTTCTACCCTTTTTAATCTCACTTAATCCTCATTGTTACTATTAGTAGCCTCATTTTAGTGGGGGGCGGGGGCGGGAGCTTTAGAGAGGTTAACTTTCTTGCTCTAAATCATACAGCAGGTAACTGAAAGACCCAGGATTCAATTCAAAGATTATCCTCAGTATAAATATTGAGAATCTTTTTTGGATTCAAAAGATTTGGTTGGAGAATTGGGCCTGCCACAACCTTCTGGCCATGTGAACTGGCCCGGGTCACTTCAGCTCTGAGTCTGTTTGTTTGTGAAATGGGTGGGGTCATACCTACTGAGGAGTGGTTGGCAGAAGTGAGATAATGTGTATAAAGTTGTTTAAACATAGCAGATGGTCAGTAAACGTAGCCAGTGATCCTCACAGGCCAAAGGGCCGCCTCTACTGAAGTGATCGGCCTATTTGGTTGGACCAGGGGGATCAGGCGGGTACGAGGGAAGGGAGCCCAGAAAGAGAAGCCTATGAATGTGAGGGTGTCCAGTGGACATGCTTGGTGTGACCCTACAAATAAAATTGTGGAGTTGCAGAGACTTACATGGAAGCCATTCTGGAGGGGAGCATTTGCTGACTAGAGCCGCCCATCAACTACCCTCCCTCTCCACTGCCCAGGGAATTCCTGAGACAGGTGGGGGCAGGCCCTTCAAAAGCTTAGGGAGGCCCTGGCAGAGAAGGCCTGAGCTCTGAGTCCTCCAGAGGTCACGGCCTCCACTACCCTTTGCCTCAGCTTCTCAGGATGCTCATCACCACTGGAGAGACTCCCTGGGAAAGGGGTGGAGCCAGCAGGAGAGCTGAAAGGCCAGGCCATCCACAGGACTCAGGGATGCAAATCTCCCCCTCCCATCAGTGTCTTAAGTTCCACCGTGGATTCACCATATGGGTCTCCTTATTCCTACTCCTCTCTTAAAGGGGACTCTACCACTTGCCTTCAGCCCACAGAGTCAGTCAGTGTTGGTGAAACACTCATCAGATCTTCCTCTGACCTGGAAGAGTCCAGAGCCCTGCTTGCGGTTAAGTCAGAGAAATGGAGTTGAACTGGGAGAGGGTGCCTGCTGCCCTGCCAGGCGGCGGTCACCCTTGAGCTGGAATGCTTGCAGGATGGCGGAGCGGGAAGAGACCTCAGGGTTCTTCTACGAGAAAACCAAGAGCCCAGGGAGGGAGAGGATTTGCCCGAAGCCACACCGCTGCTTAAGAAGCAGCTAGAGCCCGTCTCTGCTTCTCTTTACTGACTGATGCTCCATCGGTTTTCCTCCCTGAGCAGTAGGAGAGGCCTCGGGGCAGGGAGTGAGGCCATTTCCCTCTGGGCCTCTGTTTCTTCATCTGCTAAATGGGAATAACTATACTTCCCTGCCAACACCCCCACTTGTTTATGAAGCTTTGGTGAGTGAATACAGGGGAAATGGCCTCCGTGGCAAAACCGTCTACCTGGTGACCACAGGACCCCAGATTGGAGGCGACTGTGAGGGATCTGAGGGTGGGCAGGGCAGATGGGCCCAGAAGATGTGTGTTCACCTTGTCATCCTCCCCAGGTGAGTCCCAGGCCTGGGTTGCCATGGATACCGTGTCCCTAGAGCATCAGATCCAGAGCGTGCAACGCCACATCAGCTTCCTGAAAAAAGAGCAGATGGCCCTGCTGCGAGACCTGCACCTGGAAATCCTGAGGCTGCAGAAACGCTGCTCAGGTGAGGCCAGGAGGGATGGCTGCGACGGGGGCGGGGGGGGGGGGGTGGCAGCAGGGGCAACTGTCATCATCACAGTCATTGTCTCTGCTGGGGTGTCCACTGTGAGCCCCACAAGCTTCAGAACAGTCCTGCCAGGTGGGTGTTCATCACCCGTTTTTCTCAATGAGGAAACTGAGTCTTCAGGGCAAAGGGCTCTGATTCGGTAGCAGAGGGAAACCTGGGAACCATTCCTGGGAATTTCCTGTCCCCTTCTAATAAGTCTTCATCAAGCACCTTCCAGCCCTAAGAAACCTCAGTCTAGTTGGGGAGATACACACACACAGGGAGAGTATTAAGGTAACAGAAAATGAAGAGGGCTGATGGGAGTTCTTTAGCAAGACCATGTCCAGTTTGGTTGGGGTGGGGGGGTGATAAAGGAGGAGACAGGCATCCCAGGCCCCAGAGAAAGGAAGCATTTCCACTCCCGCAGGCTGAGTAAGATGTGGACATGCTGAGTTGTACGGGGGAATAGGGGTGAGGGAACATTCCAAACAGCATGGCAAAGTCCATAGGTAGGAAACTAAACGCTTAGGAAAAGTTCTATTTCATGGATAAAGCTGAGCTTAAAGGAGCCTGGTGAGAAATGGGGCTGGAGCCAGATCACGGAGGATCTTGACAAATACAGCTAAGAAGTTTGGCCTGTCCTCCTGCATGGCGGGAGTCACTGAAGGTTTTGGGCTGCATTACGAAACTCAACAGTTGTGTGGAAGATGAACTGGTGGGAGAGGGGCACAGGAGACTAGTGACAGGGCTGATGAACTGGTCCAGAGGCGAGATGAAGGGGGAACGGAAGGGGAGGGCCAGTGGGAAGCAGATGGAAGGAAAGGACTTGGCAACAGATTGGATTTGTGAGCAGGACAGAGGAAAGCACTGAAGACAAAGCTAAATCCCAGGCCTGACCTCCTGGCCAGCCCTCTCCGAGGCCTGGCTCTGGCCCAAGTGCTCACCCAGGCCGAGTCTCCAAGTCCAGCCTTCAGAGCCAGGATGTCTCAGCTGGAACAGCCCAACCTCCTCATTGTACAAGTAGGTAAATTGAGGCCCAGAGAGAGAGAAAATCACACAGTATGTTAATGGCAGGACTAGGATTAGAACCCAGATCTCTAGACTTCCCATCCTTCGTGCCTCTACAGCTTTCTGCATATCCTTTCCCCAAGACTTCTCTCTCCCCTCCAGCCCGCGCTCATGGGAGGTTCTCCATTCCCTAGAGGGAAACTGAGGCCCAGAGCCACCTGCCTGGCTTCTCACTTTGTCAGGAAAAACCAGTCGTCCTGACTCTCCGCCCCCACAGCCTCCTCCCACTCCATGTGCAGGTTCAGCTGCCACAGTCCAAGGCCAGGCTCCCCGCAGTCTCCCCCAAAGCCTGTGTGGCAGCAGCGCCAGCCCCACACTGACTCACCCCTGCCTGATGCCCCTTTTCGTTGCAATAACATTAAAGGAAAATTGAGATGAGCGAACCCTCAGACCCTACAGCTCTTCCTCTAGTTTCTTTTTGTTTTGCCCTAATTCTAAAGACCTGGGTCCTTCCACTCAGGACAACAGGCCAGGATCCAAGAAAGTATAACAGGCAGGAACAGAGTGTCCTCGGCCCCCATCATCCTTCTCAGATGGGTGTGGGCCCGCAGCCTCTAGGTTATTGATTAAGGAGATAAAAATAACTCTGAGCTGGCCTGGGGCAGCCACTCAGGGGGCTGAAATGACTGAATAAGGCCCTCCCTCCAAGGGGTGGGGGAGTGAGGAGAAGAGAGCAGAACAAAAGAGATTTTTTGTTTGTTTCCTGTTGTTGTTTTTTAAAGGAGATTCTAGAGCCAGCCTGTCAAACTCATGGCCGGCAGGTCGAATGCCTCATTAGGCCTCGAGTTTGACATGCTTGTTCTAGAGGGCCCGGAAGGGGATGGGCGATGGAGGGGCCGGTGTAGGAACCAAGGAGGCAGAGTAATTGGAGAGCCTGCCAAAAAGAGATGAAGACTCAGAATGAAGGGCTTGAGCGGGGGATGAGTGTTCTAGGTGGCAGGGCAGCGGGATAATAAAGGGAACTACCCCTACGTGTTTAACTCTCCGTTTCCCTCAGTCCCAGCACCAGCCCCTTGTGAGGCAGGAGCAATTTTGTCCCCATTTTGCAGATGAGAAAACTGGGCCTCAGAAAGGTGTTGTCACTGGCCCAAGGTCACAGTGTATCTGACCTCACAGCATGCTCATCTAAACTGAGGGAACTCTGACCAGAAGATGAGCAGGGAGAATTGATGGATGGGGACAGGGGGCCAGCTGAGATTCATCTCCCCTCCCCCAATTCCCGTGGTTAAGGGCCGAAGAGAAACCAGTCCACCGGGAGTGAGCGGCAGAGCCAAAACCCTGGGCTGTGTCCCTGAGCCTACTCCAGGTTCCCTTGAGCTACAATGCAGGGCCCTTGGAGGAGGGGCCAACTTGGCCCCAGGAAGCCCTGGGGATGGAGGCATCAGAGTCCTTCCAGGGGCCCCAGGGAGAAGGTTCAGGCTCAGGTCATAGCAAAAAGCCCAGGCACCCCAGCTCTCTGTCTCCTAGCAACAGCTGGCCTCCCCAGGGAAGGCACCTCCAGCAAAGCCCCTGTTTCTCTAGAAGAGCTGGGTGAGGGCAGAGAGGAGGGGCAGCAGAGGACCCACAAGGCTGTCTCTGTAGGTGCTGCTGCAGAGGTGGTCCCAGAGATGTGCACCCTTCTCTCACCCCCAGGTTCATGGGTACACAAAGGTGCTCCTGAGAAGGTGCCTCCCATGGGCAGCTGTAGGTCCCCAGTTCCCTGGTGTCCCTTTCCCAGCTACTGGGGGAGTCGGGGAGTTGGGGTAGGGCTAGAAAAATGATCAAACTCAGCTGGCTGAGAGATAGGGCTTTCTGGAATGTAAGGAATGGGGCTGGGAAGACAGGCAGGGGGAGAGGGATGGCTGGGCTGCCAGCAGTGCCCAGGAGGAAACTGCCCCTCTACTGGCACCCTTGGCGGGCCTGTTGGCTGCCCAACGCCCTCAGCGCCAAGCCACACACGTGGTTCCAAGAGCCCTGCAGGCTTTTCATCACCAGGTGGCGCTGTCCTCCTTGAAGCCCCTCTCCCTGCCATGTGGAGCCTGGCAGAACAGGGCTGGGAAAGGGGCAGGGCTAATGTTCAAAAAATAACACTGGCACAGCAGTACTGGCTGTGAAAACAGTGAAACACGTGTCCTATTGGTAAAGAGCCATTACCTTGAATCCCCCTCCAGTGGTACCAAGCAGCCCAGCCTGGACACTCCAGCCTTCCTGGATCCACCAACTAAACACTAAAGAGTCTGTACCCAGGGACTCTTCCTCCCTACCCACGTGGGAGTCTGTGCTTGTTTCACAATAAATTTTCACCTTTGCTATAAAAAAAAGTCTATGCCCTGCGCAGTAGGGGGTCCTTCAGACCAACTCTGATTGGGTGGCATGTTAAATATTTGTACATCATCCCTGGGAAGAAGCAAATCCTTCCCAGCCCCAAAAGCAAGCCAGGCTCCTCAGTCCCACCAGGGCTGAACTAACTCCCAAATCTAAGCCACAAAGCTTGCACCCAGAGACCTCTGGGCTCTGAATGAGGTAGATCAGGCTCAGGCTATGCCTTGGTACCACTCTTCATCTCTTCCCTGAGCTGGGCTGTAGTACGGTGGGTGTGGAGGGTGTGATTTGGATGGTTTCTAAGGATCCTTATTGCCACTTTCACTGAGCTGTGGTTCCCTGATCTCTCTCTCTCTCACACACACACCCCTGCCTTTTCTTTTCTCTTCCCCCCAGAACTGACCCGTGACCTGGAGATGAGAGAGGCCCAGTCTCACCAGCAAGGTAAGAGAAGGATGACTGGTGGGGAGGTGCCATGGGGCCCAACAGGTCACCTTTCCCCACCAAGCCTTCCATGTCCCAGTGCAGACTGGGTGAGCATAGCGCAGGATGTCAGCCCCACGTGTGCAGTGAACAGCCTGCACCACCATGCACAGCGCCCTGTATTTGTGTTCCTGGCGAAAGTAGGAAAATGAAAGCAGGTAGGAGATGGTGTCCAGTAGGTCCGGGCTGAATTAATTCCTCTCTGTGACCTACCTCCCCCATCCTTCCCATCCTTGCACAAATGATTCTCATGATCAGTGTCCATATCCTCCAAGATGCTGAGAGTCAAGATGCAACACAATGACAATATGGGGTCCTTGACTTCAAGGAACTGAGTTCAGAAGAGAAAGTTGACACAAGACACATTAGCAAATCCTTCATTTTACAATTCCCCGGCCCCAAATATTTCCCCACTAAAAGATTTTTTTTTTACAGGTTATTAGTTCACCCATTAAATGGCAGGTGAGGTGGGGAGATGGTACTCTTGGGGTATAGAGTTTCAGTTTTGCAAGATAAAAAAGTTCTAGAGATCTGTATACTTAACACTACTGAACTGTACACTTAAAAATTGATAGGATGGTAAAAATTTTATGTTGTCATTTTTATCAGAAATAAAACTTTTTCTTTAATGGAAGGGGGCCTGGCCGGTGTGGCTCCCTACGAACGTTGAACATTGACCTCTGAACCAGGTCATGGTTGGATGTGGTCAGGGCACATGCCTGGCTTCCAGCTCCATCCCCAGCAGGGGACATGATGGAGGCAACCAATCAATGATTCTCATGATTGAAGTTTCTATCTCTCTCGCCCTCTCCCTTCCTCTCTGAAATCAATAAAAATGTATTTTAAAAACATTAAAAAAATGGAAAGGGTTGCATTGTTGGTATCTTAAGCGCTGATTATATGATCTCTGAGAATTAGGGCCTGGGTAATACCTATTGTCTCAAAGTACAGGACACATTACCTAACATGGATAGGGATTCATGGATAGTAAATGCTTAACTAAAAATGAATCACAGAAGTAGTCTTTCTTAGCCAGGAGAGAGTAAGAATGGCCTCCCTGCATATTGATGTGCTGCTTATAGATCAAGAGTTAGGGGTGGGGAAGCTGGAAATTTAAGGCAAAATGTTAGGAGCCTTACAGATTGTTTTGGGTATGTGTGCATACAGATCTAAGCAGTTATAGATTTGCAGGAATTCTGCCCATTTCTTTAAGTGGCAACTATGGGCAACCTCTTGGTGCCTAGGTGCTTGGTGGCAGGGTTACACACCCCAGACACCAGTAAGGGTAGCTGTGTGACAACAGCAGCTTTCATTCCACCTACTCCCCTTACTCTGGAAGAGCTTTGGGGGTCACCTGGGCTCAAGGCACTGCCCCAGTGTCCTACTTTTTATCTTCTCGCTCAGTGGGCTTGAGAGCTCTCTGTGTCCTCTTTTTCTGTGAAAATCACCAAGTGCTTTCATATCCATTCCAGAGTCATCTTTTACCTACTTTTTTGTCGCTGTCATCAGTCTGTGTCCCTACACTCACTCACATGTGCCAGTCCTGAGATACTGTTCCAGCTGAAATGAAGCTGATAATCCAGGAAGCAGGGGTCCTCAACTCGGAAGGTCCATTAGAACCACCTGGGAAGATTTAAGGAGTGCCACTTCCCAGGTTCCAGCCCAGAGGTTCTGATTGGACTGGTCTTTGGCAGGGCCCTGGAAACTTTTTTAAAGCTCACTGGATGGTTCCCCACTAAAAGATTGGATATCCTGGGTTGAAACCCAATGCAGTAGGCAAAGGCAAGCAATAAAGTAAACAAAATATTAGAAAATGTAACAAACATTCTCCATGAAGCCAGGTTCTGGCTCACTCACTCCCCTTTCCTGCCCACCCTCCTGGTCCTAACAGTCCTAGCCTCTTGCAGGTCTCTGCTGCCACAGGGCTTTTGTACAAGTTGTTCCTCTGCCCCCAGCTCCGCCTCTCCTCTCCGCACTGCATACCTAACTCCCATTCATCTTTCAGATCCTAGCCCATGTCACTTCTGGCACATCATGTATGAATCTCACACTTGTAACTATGTCCTATACCTCTCCCACTATGCTTGCTTATGATGTTTTCTTTATTTTTTTAAAATATATTTTTATTGGTTTCAGAGAGGAAAGGAGAGGGAAAGAGAGATACTAGTGGAAACAACAATGATGAGAGAGAATCATTGATCAGCTGCCTCCTGCATACCCCACACTGAGGATCTAGCCATAACCCGGGCATGTGCCCTGGCCTGAATCGAACCGTGACCTCCTGGTTCATAGATCGATGCTCAACCACTGAGCCAGGCGGGCTGGGCTATGTTTTCTTATCCACCGCTAGTAGCCCCTGTGCCTGACACAGCGCACATAGTAAAGGCTCGACGAATACTTGTGGGGCAAATAAATGAATAAGGACAGTTTTGCATTTAAACTGAAACCTCAAGAATTAGAGGGGAGGGAAGCAGAGGGCAGGATGGGCGAAAGGCCTGGGGAAGAAAAAGGAAGGCCTTGGGGAGGGCGAGAGAGCGGGCCGGACGTGCCTGTAGCTGGGGAGTCGCAGGGCTTCGTCGGGAGGAGCGGTGAACTGTCTGCACCATCGCCTCTCTCTCTCCCGCCTTTTCCAGAGGAGGCGTCCCGGGAGCTGGAGAGCAAGTGCCGCGCGCTGGAGTCGCAGCTGGCGGCGCGGGCGGCGGCCAACTCCGAGCTGCGGCGGGAGGTGGCGCAGCGCGAGGCGCTGGTGTCGGCGCTGCGCTGCAGCCTGCGCGCCGAGGAGCGCCGCTTCCTGGAGGAGCTGCGCCGCCGCAGCCACCGCGCCACCGTGCTGGGCACCGAGCTGCAGAAGCACACCGAGGCGGCCGCCTACCTCTCCTGCCAGCTGCACGCGGCGCGCCAGAGACTGCAGACCCCGCGCCCCGGCCCGGGCGCCGCCGCCGAGCCCCGGCCCCGCCGGCGCGCACAGCGGGCTCGCCGCCCGCCGGCCACGGAGGCCGCCGCCAAGGGCCCCGGCCGGGACTGGGCCGCCTGGGACCGCGCGGCCTGCGCCCTGGACGACGCCGAGCCCATGCCCGACCCAGCGCTCTTCCTCTGTGCCCGGAGGCCCCCGCGGCCCAGCGGCCGCAGCCCGCGCCAGCCGCCTCCCCTGGAGCCCCCGGACCTAGCCTACCCGCCCGCTGCGCCCAGTGCGCCCGGGGCCCCGGAGTAGGCGCGGGGTAGGCGGGGCGTGGGGGAGGGAGGGCGGGAGGCCGGCCCCCGGCTAGAAACGCGGCCCGGGCCTTGCAGACAGGCCCGGGGGTTGGGAAGGGCGAGGAAGCCGGTCCGGTTCCAGGGATCCAGCTGAGGCAGCCCCGCTCCCTCCATCCCTTCCAACCGCCCCGCCTTTTGTATTTCCCAACGTTTCCGAAGCTTCGAGCTCTCCCCTCCCGCGAAGGAGTTCCTCCGCGGGGCTCAGCGAGCGCACCGTCTCTGTACAGGACTCGCAATACTGCTCCTCCTCTGGTCCCCACCCTGCCGCTGGGAGGGGAGGGGGCGAGGGTCACCCCGTCCCGGAAAGCTGACAATCGTTTGGCCCCGGGGGAAGGCTGGGCTGGTCTATGTAAGGAACCCGAGTGGCACTCATCACCCCTATGCCTTCCAGCTCCACCCTCCCCACCCCGCGGCCTCCCCAGCCCCGCACGGCTGTCCTTCCCTCCAAGCCTTCCAACTAGGAGAGGCTCGGGTTCAGGGGCTACTGGCTGGACCTTTTCCTCGGAGCCGCTTCGCCTCCCCGATGCCGCTGGTAGGTCCGTACAGGTGAGCACCTAACACTTTAGAAGACACCTCCTCCCAGAGCCTCTGGTGGGGACGCATGGCCGAGGGAAGTTGCACTTCTGGCAGGCGGCACCCACAGACCCTTAGGATTAGGATGGGTTTGGCGGCAGAGCCCAGTCTAGCGCTGTCTCCAGCGTGGTCCTCCCCAGGATGCCCACTGAGGGGTGTAGACAGGGAGCTGTGCTGGGGAAGCGAGGGACAGCCAGACCTATGGAGGGGCAGAAACTGCCTTCAGGAGGTAGCTGGGGACCTGAGGCGCCCTGGGCCCTGGGAGGTTCCTGGTCCTGTTTATTGGTGCTAATTTCGCCCAGCTTCTTGGAAGTGGCAGTTGATAGAGGTTTGGGTTTGCTGGGGAGGAAGTCCCCAGCCGGCCCCTCCAGGGAGGCCTCCAGTGCTATCAGACCTGGCCGTGGTGTGGCGTCGGGGACCTTCTGTCTAGGGTGGGGAGTGGCGCCATAGAGAGAGCATGCCCCACCCGCTCTCTGCCTTTCTCCCCTGCCCGCTCTCAAGACAAAGGCAGTTTCCAGCCCGGCTCTTGCTCTCACCCCAAGCCCAGCCTGGGAAGAAAAACCTCTAGAGCCCCCACCCCAAGCCACCCTTCCTCTGTCCTGGGTCCTGCACCGAGTCCTAAGTGCCTGTGAGGTCTTCCGGGGACTGCAGAGGGGGGCGCACGTGGCAGGGAGAGGCCTTTGCCTCACTCACACCCCATCCTGGCAGAGCCTGGCCCTGCCTGCGGCCCAGCATTGTGTGTGTTGACCCAGGGAGCCATGAGAGAGAGCAGAGCCAATCTTTTTTTTTTTTTTTTTTAAATATATCTTTACTGATTTCAGAGAGGAAGGGAGAGAGAGGTAGAAACATCAATGATGAGAGAGTCATTGATCAGCTGCCTCCTGCACGCCCCCTACTGGGGATGGAACCCGGGACCCGTCCGTCCCCAGGCTGATGCTCAGTCTAGCCACTGAGCCAAACCAGCCAGGGCGAGCAGAGCTCGTCTCTAGGGGAGATGCATGCTTCTGTCATCACAGGCCCCTTGAAGAAGAGGAAGGCCCAATCATATCCTCTTCCACTCCATATTGGAGGGAGTGGGAGACCAGCAGGAAGCAAAGCCCGTGAGCACACTCCCAGCCCACATGGACACAGTGCCCTCCCCAGCCCACCACACTGGGATCCGCTGGGACCACAGCAGTAACCAGCCTGGTCTAGGTGTGCAGCCTCTGGGACGCAGAGGCTACGGTGTGGGCACTGGGACAGACAGTGCTCTCCCGTCTCACTCGGGTCCCGGCAGTGGCCTAGGGTCCTTGCTCTGCCTGCCCTTGTCCCTCCCCTCCCCAGCCTCTGTGCTTGTGCCTCTGCCCTCCGTGTCTCCCCTCGAGTGTGTAACTCGATGTTCCCTCATGCCCTCACCTCCCTTTCACAGCGTGACTGTGAAGGAAGCCTCTCCTCTCTCGACTGCACCCACTTGCAGGAGCCAGAGGACTGTGGAGAGGAGGGAAAGGGTGCCTTTCTGGAGGTGCTCCCCCAAACCTCCATCTTCCACAACCACACTTTTGGGGTGAACAGGGTGACTTTGTTGCATTGATTCCTCTAGAGATGGTGAAATACTTTGTCCGTCCACCCACCCACTGAAAGCCATAGCTTCCCCACCCTGCCTCCCCCCGATCCAGCTCTATAGCAATAGCCCTCTTCCCCCTTCCCTCCTGAACCCAAGGTGTCTATCTGGGGACCCCTATCAGCCCTCCCCCCCCCCCCGGGATCCTCAGGTGACCTGCCTGCCTCTCCCCAAGGGACCCCCATCAGCAACTTCCCACTCCTGTCCCTCTTCTAACAAGCAGAAATAATGACACTTAATTGTTTGTGGGGGTGCTTGGAGATCCCCCAGATGAAAGGTTCTGAGTGCTGGGGCGGCTGACTCAACTCTCAGCCTGGGAAAGGAAATAAGACAACCCTTCCCACTCCACTCAGCAAGCTGGAGGAGGGGCTGAGGCAGACACAGGGTTCCAATTTTAACACATTCCCTTTCCCCTCCCTCTCCTGGGCTAGAGACTTCCCTCCACCTCTCGGCCCTGCCCTGGGTTTGGAACAAAACCCTCAGGGCAGCAGAGTGCGACTAGAATCAGTGGCCTGCCCTTGGCTTCAAGGCGTCAAAGCTCAGCCTTGGGGCCTGGGAGAGGCCCTACCCTCAGCTTCTGGCCCTCCCCATCCTCTAGCCTGGGGGACCCACCCTGCCAAAGGAAGACCCCCTCCCGCCAACCCCTGGAATGCTTAGGTGACTAGAAGGGAAAGGATCCTGTCTTCTCCCCTCTTCCTTACTGGGGGAGGAGCGTGTTGACATGGACAGTCAGGGGCCCTAGTTGGAGCTGCAGCCACTCCCCAAGAATGGAGGGGCCCAGGAAGGAGGACTGCAGTATGAGCATCTGTACCCCTGCCTCCCCATATCCTACCCGCAGTGGCCTGCAGTTTGGGGAGTCAGTTCAAGGCTGAAATGGGGTGCGCCTTCCCCAAATAAGCAGCAGAATGGAGGCCTCCTTGTGGAGAGGAAGGAGGCCAGGGGTGTGGAGGAGCATCTCAGTGCAGAGAGCTGGGGATCTCAGCACTGCTCACTGAGGTGCCAGCCTTGAATGGGGGACGGGCAGGGCAGAGGCTTCCTGCTCCAAACTCTGTTGGCTGTGCTTTTTAATCCAATGCTTTTCAGAGTGTATTCACTCACCCACAGAAATAGAGCCCTGTGCTTTAGGGGTGACTGTCATATGCCTTATTCTTAATAAAATATCTGAAAAATACATAAGCCAGACCTCTTCTCTGTGGGCACCCCACCCTGTTCCCACAGGTGTGGCCAGATAGTGGTTTGGGAGTCAACCAGTGGGGTGGGAGCTGAGACTTGGGAGTCCCCTCAGTAGATATTTCCTTTTTAAAAAATATATATATTTTTATTGATTTCAGAGAGGAAGGGGGAGAGAGAGACATCAATGATGAGAATCACCGATCGGCTGCCACCTGCACACCCCAGGATTGAGCCCAAAACCTGGGCATGTGCCCTGACTGGGAATTGAACCGTGACCTCCTGGTTCATAAGTCGACGCTCAACCACTGAGCCACGCCGGCCAGGCTCAGTAGATATTTCTTACATAGGTAGAGGCCACTCATCTGAGATGTCCCAATGCTCGGCTAGCCCTGGCCCTCTCTCCATGCCACCCCAATTCAAATGAACAAATGAGACCTTAGGTCAGAGGCTCCTGGCTAGAGCTGGGAAGGATGGATTGGAAGTGCTCCATGGCTGAAATTGACCATCGTCCTGGCCCAGAAGAAATCCTGGTATTCTGGCATCTTTGGCCATGCTGGTCCCCCTCCCTGACACCCATCCCCACCTGATCCAGCTGCAAGAAGCCAGCATCCCGGGGAGGAGCCCTATTCTTATCCTCCTCTCATGACGGTTTTCCTGGGACTGCAATCTGACAGCTCAGCACACCCAACACCCACAAGAACTCAAGCCTGTACATTTCAGTGTAGGCCTGTTGTGGATGGCTCTAGGACAGCGATTTCCAACCGCTCTGTCACAGCAGGCACACTGGTGGGCCGCAAGGATTTTTAAAACGTGCAATACCTGACTAGCCAGGGGCACTGACCTCTTTTCCCTTAGATCAGCGGTTCTCAACCTGTGGGTCACGACCCCTTTGGAGGTCGAACGACCCTTTCACGGGGGTCGCCTAAGACCATCGGAAAACACATATATAGTTATATATTGTTTTTGTGATTAATCACTATGCTTTAATTATGTTCGATTTGTAACAATGAAATTGGGAGTCACCACATCATGAGGAACTGTATTAAAGGGTTGCGGCATTAGGAAGGTTGAGAACCACTGCCTTACATTGTCAAATTAAGGAATGATAACATTAAAAAAATGACAACAGCCAACACAACAATAGCTATCCAGTGTGAATGAATCACAATTATAACTATTTTTGTCAAATCAGCAAAATATCATTTGGTGGGCTGCAGCATTTTAGTAATTAGTTTACTGAAAAATCAGAGGCCGAAAACCAGGACTACAGGCTTTATTAGGGGAGAAGGACCTGCCGGGCTGTCTCACAAGGAGAGGACAGCAGCACGCGCAGGGGTGGGCATGCCTTTTGAGGGGCGGAATGGGAAGGGGTGGGGGCTTAGTGTATTCTGCGCACACTGATTGGTGGCTTACTGCATTGTCCATATAGGACAAGGGCTTAGGGTATTGGGCAGGTGTGGATTGGTGGTCCAATGTATAGTCCATATAAGGTACATGGTTAGTCGCTCAGGTATTTACGGGCTGCAGGTTATGTCATACTCCGCCCACCAGTTGGGGGAAGGGAGGATCTATCATTTACGTGAGCTATGAGATGAAAAAGGTGGGAAATCGCTGCTCTAGGAGAAAGGGCAGCAGCTCTGCATTCTAAGGCTGCCGGAGACATCATAGTTCTGCCTGCGGCCCTTCTAATAACAAGACTGATTGCTTCCTTTTGGGTGCCTGCCCTTCTCCCATCGCAGTCTATGTGTTGGGGGTGGGCGGGGCTGACCCCACACAGGTGACTGAGGTAAGGTAGGTCACAATGATTGGGTTGGAGAAGGGCAAGTGACTCAATCTAAGCCAAGGAGCATTAATCTCAAGACTTTTACTGCTGGGGTCTAACCCCAGCATGTCCAGGGGTCCCTAAAGGTGTGGACAGAGTCGGCGAAGAAGGAATGACACAGAGACAACGTTCAGTTGATCTGCAGCCTAGCCAGGATCTCTAGCCAAGTTCTGGTCAGGATCTCCAGCGAAGTTCTGGTGCCATGTTCTCTCGCTAGGTTCTCCAGCCAGGTTCTCCAGGCTCTCCAGCCAGGTTCGGTTGCTAGGTTTTCCAGCCAGGTTCTATCCAGATTCTCTTGCCATGTTCTAGGTTCTCTAGCCAAGTTCTGTAGCCAGGTTCTATCCAGGATCTTTTGCCATGTTCTCTCGCTAGGTTCTGTCTCTAAGTTCTGTGTCTAGGTTCTGTGTTCTGTTGTCTTGTTACATCTGTATTTATACCAGTTGATTCCAATCCTATCAATCTCTATTCCAAAGGTTAGGGTTTTTCTTAGCTCCATTCCAGGGAGTAAAGATTATGTAGCTTAAGCGTGATTGATTGTAGTTAAAGTGATTAACTACCTGCCTGACACTTAGTTAAGGGGTTTTATCCCCTCCCTAACTTCAGGGAAAAATCCCTACCTGGGGAAACAACCTTTCTCAGAGAGGTGACCTTGGTTAAAACACATAGCGCTAAGGGGAGCAAACATATTAAGAACAGTATGCTATATATGCCAGGTCCCTTGAAACATGCTGTGCAGATGTTTCTTTCCTGAAGCGACTGTGTCAAGCAGCAAGGATGGACCGGCTTCCAGCATTTTACTGGAACCATTCATTCAACACACCAAGGGATCTAGGAGGGAACAAAAACTCTTGGGTGGCTAAAATGGCAGAATACCAGCCGGAAGGTCTGACAGACTGTTTGCCACCACAAGGGATAGGGCTGCCTGAGTAGGAAGCTCCACCAAAGAAGCAGAATCAGCTGAGATGGAGACAACTCCTAAGAATTAAGCCACCTGGGTCCAGCTGTGCCCGTGGCCCATATACCCCTGCCCTTTTCAGTTACATAGACCAATAAGCCCCTCCCTCACTTTTGTATTTAAGTGGTGAGCATTAATTTGAGGGTTTCCCCTACTTTTTATTTGGGACAATTTTAGACTTAGAGAAAATTTGCAATAATAATACAGAGGTATATATACCTCACATCTTTTCCTGATGTTAACATCT